GTAGTACTTCCCCTGATAGCTGACTATAGTCAGCCTGACTATTGAACGCTGGCATTGAAAGCCTTCAGCGCGGAGGTTAGATCGCGACGTCGAGAGAGACCAACACGGATCTACACCGTTCAAATCGTGACCAAATGGCGGCCATACAATGATACTCGGTACATCCGGGATACACAGGGTCACGACGTTCTTATGTACATACCTTTACTGTATGCAAAAACAGGTTTACAGACCAAAACAGCATGAATTATGATAGGTTTATTTTTTAATAGCTATAATATACTGCATATACAGTATAGGCCTACACACTTATAATAAAATAAATATATATATATATATATATATATATATATATATATATATATATATATATATATATATATATATATATATATATATTTATATATATAATCATTGCTGTGCTGTTAAAAGTTAGCTATGGCTATAATTAGAGCGTGTCAAATGGGCGAGAGGACAACAACAGCCTCAGTAAAGTTTTGTGTCCGCAGTCAACCACAAACTGCATTAAATTATAACTTCACCTGTACACCTCTGGTGAACTAGTACCTCACCTGTACACCTGTGGTGAACTAGTACTTCACCTGTACACCTGTGGTGAAGTAGTACCTCACCTGTACACCTGTGGTGAACTAGTACTTCACCTGTACACCTCTGGTGAAGTAGTACTTCACCAGTACACCTGTGGTGAACTAGTACCTAACCTGTACACCTGTGGTGAACTAGTACTTCACCTGTACACCTGTGGTGAACTAATACCTAACCTGTACACCTGTGGTGAACTAGTACTTCACCTGTACACCTGTGGTGAACTAGTACCTCACCTGTACACCTGTGGTGAACTAGTACTTCACCTGTACACCTGTGGTGAACTAGTACTTCACCTGTACACCTGTGGTGAAGTAGTACTTCACCTGTACACCTGTGGTGAACTAGTACTTCACCTGTACACCTCTGGTGAAGTAGTACTTCACCTGTACACCTGTGGTGAACTAGTACCTAACCTGTACACCTGTGGTGAACTAGTACTTCACCTGTACACCTGTGGTGAACTAGTACTTCACCTGTACACCTGTGGTGAACTAGTACTTCATCTGTACACCTGTGGTGAACTAGTACTTCACCTGTACACCTGTGGTGAACTAGTGCTTCACCTGTACACCTCTGCTGAACTAGTACTGAAGGTGACTGTCAAGATGTATACCCATGTCACAAGATCAAACTACAATGATAAACAAAGTTTCCTGCATCGCTCGGGGCTAACGTTGATCAAGATAAATAAATGTTACATTTTTTTACTTTATAGAGAAAGTATTGTAATCGTGCAAAAAAAAAAATCGAGATTTTTACAAATCTCGACGTTTTACACCTCACTGATACGGAAAAACATAATTTTGCAATCTTGTCCGTATGTCTGTGTGTGTGTCTGTGTGTGTGTGTGTCTGTCTGTCTGTGTGTCCGTGTGTAAACACGATAACTTGAGTACAGCTAGGTTGATGAAATTTCATATATAAGTATTATATCAAAATCGTAGATCCGTATCAACTTTTGAGCGATTTCCGACAACCGGAAGTGGTACTTTTTCTACTTTGAATTTTTCAAAAGCCTATAACTTGAGTACTATTTCAGATAGATAAATGAAATTTCACATGTAAGTAAAAGATCTAATTCTCTACCTTCTGTTAAATTTTGAGTAATTTCCGTTGACCGGAAGTAGTAATTTACGCTACTTCCGATTTCTCAAAAAACTAATGTAAATTTATTAAGTACTAATACTATTGCGCACTATTATACACACCTTTATTAGGCGTTCGCATGGTGCGCAATTGTTTTTTACTTAGATTCTATTCTATTTTTAAAAGTTTCAGTATTTAAAATGGATTAAAAATCATAACTATATCCCCAGTTACCATCCCCTGTTGTTTTATATAAGAATATTCGAGAAAGTTTAGGGGAGATCACTACCGGTTTATTTTACATCGTTTGCTAACAAAAAAATTCTATAATATTGATTAATTGAAGTAGAAGAAAGAAATGGTTTGTAAAATAACTGAAGTGTATGTGGTCGAGAAAGTATTTCTTGTGCCATGACTTTGACATGTTTTCCTAAATAAAAATGTATATCGTGGTATTGATGATTTACTCACACATCTGTGTGATGCATGATTTACTCACATCTGTGTGGTGCGTGATTTAGATTCATCACGGAGGATATGTTATTGGATATTTGTTGCCCACAAACGACTTCAACTATATCCGACCTTTCTGACGATTTGATTAGTGTGGGGTGGGGGGGGGGGGGGGGGGGGAGGGAAAGTCAGATGTGTAAATAGCAGAGTAAAATCTGTGGTGGTAGGTTTGAATGAGTGGTGGTAGGTTTGAATGTGTGGTGGTAGGTTTGAATGAGTAGTGGTAGGTTTGAATGTGTGGTGGTAGGTTAGAATGAGTAGTGGTAGGTTTGAATGGGTGAGTCAACAACCGTTCGCCATTAGTCACCCAATAACAGCTAAAAGTTTTGCAAGTGTCTTGACTGTATCCCTCACACTAAATGTGGGAGTGTTTGCCCTCACAATATGCCCACTTCAATTGTTGACATCAGACAATAGTCTACTTTAGTCAGTTGTTGACATCAACAATAGTCTACTTTAGTCTTCTCTACTGTTTTCCACTCTCGACAACTCGAGAAGACAAGCGGTATTAGAAATCTGAACGTAACAGTGTAACAACAATACACAACCCTTATTGTAAACTAGTTAAGCTCGAATTAAGTAACCCCAACACCAAACTGCACACTGGCAGAGGCGTAGCGACCCTTCCCGGCGCCGGTGACAAACTTTTCGATTTGCACCCCCCCCCCCCCTTTCAAACTGTCGATTTGCACCACCCCCCTCAAGATTTCGATTTGCACCCCCCCCCCTCAACCTTTCAATTTATTTTCCAACCCATTTTGGCGCCCTCTAAGGTCGGCGCCCGGGGACATATGTCGTCCCCCCACCCCCCACCCCTCGCCACGCTACTGCACACTGGTTTCAGCTCTTGATTCCATCCTCAGTTAAACACGTTTCACATCCACTTTAACCCACGCCCTCTCTAACCAAATCCCCGTAACAACAACCCACAGTTCTGTTATACCCGCATTCGACCTTGAGGTAATTAATACAACAGGGACCTAGCCCACAATCCACACACAGGGTTACTAAACTACTGTTAGCCTAGCCCTAAATGACACCTAACAACCCTAACATTGGTAGTGGGCCTGCCTCTTGTATCCGTGTTGTGACGTCACTTAAGAAAAGTTTTTTTTTGGCACAACGTTTGAGTTAGGATGGGTTTGTAATAGGGGGGGGGGTACAGAGAAACGACTGAGCCAACGGTCAAGGACTGAGTCCGGACTGACCAGTGCCCTGTCCTCTATACTGAAGCCAACAGATCTACATGTTCTAGTATTGCCACTACAGAGCTGGATATCATAGGAAGGTAACTGACGAAAGCCCATGGTCAATAGTTAAGTCATTATGTGTGAAAAGGGAAAACATTCGTGGGACAAAGTAAAGCCCACTCTTGTCTGACAAAGTAAAGCCCACTCTTGTCTGACAAAGTAAAACCCGACTCTTGTCTGACAAAGTAAAGCCCACTCTTGTCTGACAAAGTAAAGCCCACTCTTTTCTGACAAAGTAAAGCCCACTCTTGTCTGACAAAGTAAAGCCCACTCTTGTCTGACAAAGTAAAGCCCACTCTTGTCTGACAAGGTAAAGCCCACTCTTGTCTGACAAAGTAAAGCCCACTCTTGTCTGACAAAGTAAAGCCCACTCTTGTCTGACAAAGTAAAGCCCACTCTTGTCTGACAAGGTAAAGCCCACTTGTCTGACAAGGTAAATCTCATTTGGGACAAAACGAAGCCCACTTATGAAGCCTACTCGAATAACAAAGTGAAGCCCATGTGTGTGGAAAAGTAAAGCTCACACATTGAAAGCCTACTCTAGTGACAAAGCAAAGCCCACTTGTGACGCAAAATTAAGCCTATTAGAAAAAAGAAATTTAAAAAATGAAGACTTTACAACTCCCCCCCCCCCCCGAAGTATAACGTCATTTAAGTAAGTACGACCCCTTCCATGCCATCGACCAACAGTGGGCGATTGTTGTGAGTCCACATAGAAGCGGGTCACGTGGAATGTCGGTCACGTGGTAAGACCGAGGTTAACAAAACAGACACGGTGTTGTTTTGTTAAGTCAGTCTCACTTATCGTGTGCCAAGTGTGTTTACAAAACTAAGCGCTGACTACACACTGTGTTCAGTAGAAAATGCGTTTCTCATAACTTTCGGAAAGACTACCGCTATAAAAAGACATCACACGAGAAATTACCATTTTTAAATAAATAAAAATAGGCCTAGCCCTAGATCTAGATCTTTTTCTTGAATAATAATAAAAAAAATAATACTTAGAATTACAGAAAGACAAAACAGTTGAAATTTGTTTGTATAAAATATTGTTTTATACACATAACATAAGCTAATTAAAACATTGGGCAAAGTTAGAAAACTTCAATCTATATATATAATTCTCTTCTGGGATCAGTTAGAAAACAAGCTGCAAGCGCCTCCTTGCAGTCCCCTCTCTTTCTCTCTATCACTATCCCCCCCCACCCCACCCCCACATGATCTGGTGAGCGGTGTTCACTCTGTTTACATTTTACAATCACAGAGACGGGTTTGGTGACGGCTATTAGGGGCAGATAATTTAGTTTGAAACGATTTTAAACTTAGAGGAGGCTGCTTTCACGTGTGGGGGGGGGGGGGGGGTTAGTGTTTTTAAGCAAATATTTTCAATGGCAGCATTGGTACTGTCGAATTCACAAATTATGAATTACTGAAAAGTAAAAGAAAACAACTAAATAGCGGCGTATGATACGCAGCGGGTCGGCTAGTACAGTAAAATAAGCTTAGGCAGTCATAAACTGTGTGCAAGAAAAAATAAACTAAC